TCGGATAAGCCACAAGAAGACTTGATATAAGATAATGTGTAATCGGATGAATATTATCTGCCCCCTCTGTCCCATCTCCTGGTCTCTACCTCCCTTCCCCCTTTCTTTCTCGGTGACCGGGTTCATTTCCAGCGCTCCCTAAAGTAGCCCTGTCATTTGGATGATCCATTTCCCCATTATCAGACAGATTATTGTGAATGTCTCTCTCTGAGTATCCCCCTCCTCAGCATATTCAATCCCTAATGTCTCTGTCACGGTGTGTGAAGCAGGTAGGACCCAAATGCAGATTAAAGTGCAAATTCCTTTATTTCAAGGCTAGGTGATAACAAAGACAAAACAGAACACTCACCGACGAACTAGTCATGACAAAAGACGAACCGACAAAGACAGACAGAAAAACCAAAACTTAAATACACACAAGACTAATCACAGAAACAAGACACAGGTGAGGAGGGAGGAGAAAACACAGGGACACCAGGTGAACACAATCGGGTAAATTAGACACACCAGGGAAACTAACGACCGGGAACCACAGACAAATCCAAACAAGACACAACGCAGACAGAAACAGGCAAGACAGGAGGTGAAGACCTTTCAAAATAAAACATGAAACAAGACAAAACACCATAAAGACAGATCGTGACAGTACCCCCCCCTCAAGGGACGGATCCCAGACGTCCCAAAAAAACACAAAAAGTCCTCAAGCAGGGTGGGTGGAGGGGGTCCGGAGGAGGGACGTATCACTAGGCCACCAGGGTGGGTGGAGGGGGTCAGGAGGACGGGATTGAGCTGACCACCCAGGAGCACCGCAGAGGACCAGGAAGGGATCTCGGGCGGACGGCCCGGGGGCAAGGCAGAGTTCAAAAAGGGGGATTCGGGCGGACGGCCCGGGGGCAAGGCAGAGTCTAAGGTGGAGGACTCGGGCGGCCGAGCATGAGGGCAGAGGCAGGAAGAGTCAGGGGGCCGGGCTGCGTAGGACGAGGGCAGCGGCAGGAAGAGTCAGGGGCCGGGGATCGCGGGGCGAAGACCACGGCTCACAGAGGGCCGGGATCGAGGGCGAAGACCGCGGCTCTCAGGGGGCCGGGCTCGAGGGCGAAGACCACGGCTCACAGGGGGCCGGGCTCGAGGGCGAAGACCACGGCTCACAGGGGGCCGGGATCGAGGGCGAAGACCGCGGCTCTCAGGGGCCCGGGCTCGGAGGGCGAAGACCAGAGAGCTCCGGAGCCGGGCAGGAAGGCGCTGACGGGACAGTGCCGGAGACCGGGCAGGACCCGGTGTCGGAGCTGGTAGGACAGGCCTCTGCAGGATCCCCCACGGAAGAGGACCAGGACACGGGATTTGCAGGACCCCCGGCAGGAGAGCAGTCGGCGGGGCCTCCAACGGCACAGGACATAGGATTGGCAGGACCCCCGGCAGGAGAGTAGACGGCGGGGACCTCCAACGAGACAGGACAAAGGGTTGGCAGGACCCCCGGCAGGAGAGTAGTCGGTGGGACCTCCAACGAGACAGGACAAGGAGCTGGCAGGACCCCCGGCAGGAGAGTAGACGGCGGGACCTCCAAGGGGACAGGACAAAGGGTTGGCAGGACCCCCGGCAGGAGAGTAGTCGGCGGGGCCTCCAACGGCACAGGACAAAGGGTTGGCAGGACCCCCGGCAGGAGAGTAGTCGGCGGGACCTCCAACGAGACAGGACAAGGAGCTGGCAGGAGAGTAGACGGCGGGACCTCCAACGGGACAGACATACGATTGGTAGGACCCTCGGCAGAGGAGTAGTCGACGGGGCCTCCAACGGGACAGGACATGGAGTTGGCAGGACCCCCAGCGGAACCTCCAACGGACCAGGACATTGGGTAGGGACTTGAGACGTGACTCGAGAGGGGACTCGAGAGGAGACTCGAGAGGGGAACCAAGGGGGAACTCGAGAGGGGAACTAGAGAGGGGACTCGAGAGGGACTAAAGGAGGGACTAGAGGAGGGACTAGAGAGGGAACTCGCGAGGGGAACTAGAGGAGGGACTAGAGAGGGGACTAAAGGAGGGACTAGAGAGGGGACTAAAGGAGGGACTAGAGGAGGGACTAAAGGAGAGACTAAAGGAGGGAACTCGAGAGGGGACTCGGGAGGAACTTGAGAGGTGACTAGAGAGGGGACTCGAGAAGGGACTCGAGAGGGGACCTGAGAGGGAACTCGAGAGGAGACTGGAGAGGAGACTCGAGAGGGGACCCGAGAGGGGACTCGAGAGGGGACCCGAGAGGGGACTCGGGTAGGAACTGGAGAGGGGACTTGGGTAGGAACTGGAGAGGGGGACTCGGGTAGGAACTTGAGAGGGGACTCGGGTCGGTCGGTACGCCGACAGGACACGGGGAGCTGGCGTCGTCTGGGGAGCCAGCAGGAGACGAGGTGCTGGAGTCGGCCGGTACGCCGACAAGACTCTGGGAGCTGGCGTCGGCTGGGGAGCCAGCAGGAGACGAGGTGCTGGAGTCGGCCGGTACGCCGACAAGACTCGGGGAGCTGGTGTTGGCTGGAGAGCCAACAGGAGACGAGGTGCTGGAGTCGGCCGGTACGTCGACAAGACTCGGGGAGCTGGCGTCGGCTGGGGAGCCAGCAGGAGACGAGGTGCTGGAGTCGGGACCATGACTGTATGGGCCAGCTCTGGTGCAGGGACCACGGTTGTAAGATCCAGTTCTGGAGCCGGAAACATGGCTGTAAGGTCCGGAGCTGAAGCCTGGATCATGGCTGTGTGGGCCGGTTTTGGAGCCGGAAACATGGCTGCTGGGGCCGGCACTGGAGCCGGAACCATGGCTGCTGGGCAAGGAACCGGAACACGGATCCATGGCTGTGTGGGGTGGTACTGGAGCACGGTACCATGGCTATGTGGGATGGTACTGGAGCACGGAACCATGGCTGCTGGGTCCGGCACTGGAGCCGGAACTGGCGCTGGAACCCTGGCCTTTCGTCTTTTAGGAGTCTTTTGGAGGCTTCGTGGACCTCCAAACGCCAGACCAGACCCCAGGAAAGGGTCAGAACATGAAGCCTGGTACTCAGGGCTACGTGAGAAAACCCTAAGCCACTCGGGCAACAAGCTCCAGAGCCAGGGCTTGCGAGCAACCTCCTGACGTGCCTCCTTCAACGCAGCCTCTCTACCCCGTCTAGATGAGGCGCCTTTCCATGTATAAAAAATGTACTCCAGAGAGTATCCAAGACTTTCCGCCTGTCGCATCAAAAGGGCTGAGTCTGCTGGGCCCATAATGTGGTCGGTTCGTACTGTCACGGTGTGTGAAGCAGGTAGGACCCAAATGCAGATTAAAGTGCAAATTCCTTTATTTCAAGGCTAGGTGAACAACAAAGACAAAACAGAACACTCACCGACGAACTAGTCATGACAAAAGACGAACCGACAAAGACAGACAGAAAAACCAAAACTTAAATACACACAAGACTAATCACAGAAACAAGACACAAGTGCGGAGGGAGGAGAAAACACAGGGACACCAGGTGAACACAATCGGGTAAATTAGACACACCAGGGAAACTAACGACCGGGAACCACAGACAAATCCAAACAAGACACAACGCAGACAGAAACAGGCAAGACAGGAGGTGAAGACCTTTCAAAATAAAACATGAAACAAGACAAGACAAAACACCATAAAGACAGATCGTGACAGTCTCTATCTTATAAGTCTCCCATTCTCCTTCCCCTGTAATTCCTCTCCTTTCTTTTACTCTCCACTTCAGGCACCACACAGACTCAAAGAGCTTAGTCTCATTTCACCTTTTAACATCTTGTTCTGTAAAATAGTTGTAGGTTTAAGTCTTAAAATCTCTATGAACGCTTCCCATTTGAAGTTCAGGAATTTGCAGGAGATCATGTTATAGTGAGTATATCTCTGCAATAGTTTCAATGTCCATAATGAATCATAAGCATTATATGAAACAATTATAATTTGACAACTGTAATACACAATGATCACTGACCATATAATTAGTCATTATTATGATACCTGACCCAGAGTTCCCGTTAGAATAATTATTTGCCGGTCAAAATGTCCGTTAAAGTTTAAATCTTCCGAATAAATGAGAAAAGTGCCGGTCAAAGGTCTTCTTTGTTATTTATCGAGCTTTAAAACGAATTGATATGATTCGATATTAAACAAACTAATTATAGTAGATTAACTACATTATTCAAAAGTGTTCAGTAATTTACAATAACACATGAATAATAAACGGAGCGCTCTCCCTCTCCTGACAGCCCGTCAGTATCATGCAGCTCGCGGATCAGTAATGAGTGACCCGACAGTAAAACTAAACATATCTATAAATAGTTACGGTAGTTTGAGAGGTAATTAAAATAGCTACGTGTGATATTCTAACCTGGTGTGTGCTTTGTTCCGCTCACCGCTGCATGTGATCATGCAGAGCTGCGTGTCGACTAGTTAGCAGCAGCTGATCTCTCTCTCCCGCCAGATTAGACTTCACTCGCGTTTATGTCCATATCGATCAGATCCAGCTAGTTCTAGCTAATGATATGACTACCTGCTTATTAAAAGACACCTAAACAATAAGCATCGCTATGCAACCGGGTGAGGCCACAAAGTATAGCGCAGCATTATGCATTTGTTTACAGCCCACCGGAACCCCGAGGCATTACCAACAGATCAACGCACAATCAACCCATACAGGACATCTCTTTCTCCACATTACGTGTTAGACATTAGAATTGACTATTCTTGTCTGTCACATAAGTGGCGCAACTGAAGCGGTATTTTGCTAAGGGGAAATTATTTTTGACCGGAGAGATTTAGATTTGCCGGTCTTCAGCATATTTTACCGGTCATAGTCCTGTAATTACCGGCTATCGGGAACTCTGACCTGACCTTTATTGGTCATCATCAAATGCTTTATTATTTGTTATAAAGCAATGTGAATGTGCTTAGAATTGAAATGATATAGTGGTATAAGCAGATATAAGACAATAGTTAATTTAAACAGCATTATAGACATGGTGATGGCTCAGGCAGCGCATATGACACATTGGAATTCATACAGAGAAGATTAGCATGGCCCATACATAAAGATGACACACATTTGTGTCATAGAAATTGTTACTGAAATATAACATGAAGTGCATTCGCTCAGACTAAAGTTTCTTAATGGAGACATTCATTAAAAACTCTTTCCCCATACCCAGCAATGTACATTTTTCCTGCTGATAGTCATGATCATTCAGCATCTCAAAATAACAAAATAAAAAAAGGCCTTTGTTTTGCTACAAGAACACTTGACATGTTTCCTCTCATCAGCCTTTCCATGAACACAGTCAGCTCCTCACATACTAAATCAATGTGTCACCCATGAGTCTGTCCAGGTTTCCATACCCAGATTTGTACGGCTTTTAGATGAGTTAATCTGCATCAACATGCTCCAACAACACCAGCGTGAGTAACACCTTTCACTACCCTGCAGCCAACTCTGGATCAGCTGTAAAAGCCTGTTTGAAACCTCCGACGTGACCGCACCCCATTTGCGTTTGCTCCCTGGCTCTAATCTCGTTTCATGTTACCGAGGCGTACTCCTCTGCATCTGCCAGGCTGCTGATGGCACGCACTTCCTCCTCTGCCTTACACAATGCTTTTAAAAACGGCACCCCGGGTTCCAGTTATTTTTGTTCTCCTTTCAGTATAAAGATTTTAACATGGTCCCATCTTCACTCGCTGTTCTATTTTCTGCCAGTACTAGCTGCGTTCTTTATTTAGAAACAGGCCGTTAGGATGGATGTAGGTTTACCTCACTCAGATGTGACGTAGGAGCCGGATTCTGGGCCAGGCTGATGCATACCGCCTGGAGTTTAGACAGGAGATCAGGGACAGGGTCCACTGGGGCTTGTGAGGGCCTCTGGGACCCGTTGTGACTCAACTCCCAGACTGCGTCACTTCGTAGACCCTCAGGGGGGTTTGTCATGGGGCCGAGGGAGCTTGGTCTGGGGCTCAGATGTGGTTTTTGTATTATTTAGGAAATGCATATCAAACTTTAAAACAAAGCCTTCCTTACAGGTCAATGCGTTTCAAACAAGGGCTGCACAATCAACAAATAATGGACTAGTGCAATATCCAAATCACAGACAAGGCTAAACGTGTCTAAACATAATAATTACGTTTTGCTGAGCGGAAGAGATTTCCCAAATTAAGAAAAAGGGATTAAAAGAAACATTTTAATACATGAATACATGCTGATTTACTAAACTCTTCTGTGCTGCACTAAAAAAAAAATTCAAGACTCAAGCAAGAAAACGAGGGGGTGTCCTGGGTCATACATTGCAAGCATGCCAGACAAATAGGCAGGTGCTTTGAACATATTGAGTTTTAAATCAATCCACAAACTGACAGGGAACCAATGTAAGGACTTTAAACTAGCTCTTATGTGTTCTCTCCTTCTGGTCTGAGTTTCAAATCAATAATAATTAAAGGAGTCAGTCAGCGCTCTTGTCTTTTCACGTTGTAATCTTCAGTGGTGTTTTCCTCCTGTTCAGAAGTATTGGATCTGGGCTGATGCCAAATCTTGTGAACGCCTATTAAGAGCAGCCTCTTCTTATCCCTACATGTATTGTTGTTTTAACGTCTACACAAGCAGTCTTGCTCATGTTAGCGCTGCCTCTGAGGGTTTCCTCTGGCACTATAAGTGACTAACGGGTGACACGACAGAGTCCTGCTCCCTGTCACATCAGTTCTGGGCCTCTGTAGGACAGGTCTGACCGCCTCGTGGACCTCTGATGTTGACCCTGAGCCGTAGCGTGACAACTCTTTAGCTTCAGTCACTTTCAATTACTCCTAATCCTCTCCAATTGTAAATGAGGAAATCACCATTTTTTAAAGCTCATTAAAGAAGTCTGTCTCATGGGGATGTTAGCCCAGATTACACCAGTAGAGATATTAATGATGAAGAGATATCATCATTGTTTCCCCAGATCTCTTTTCAGTATTTCTTCATTCTTTGTTTTTGTTTCTTCAGGACTCCAACCGGCACGCCTGCATCATCTCGCCCTGCCACAGGCCCCACCCGGACCCCCACCTCCAGCACAGCCAAGAGCTCCCCAGCTACTCCCAAAACTACCACCCCGAAAACCTCCTCCACCACCACCGCCAAGCCTGCGGCCTCCAGACTAACCTCCACTACCCCCTCTGGTGGCAAGCCTCCGGCATCACAGACATCCAGGACCACAACCCCTGTGAAGAAAGGTAAATAATGGACATTCATTGATTTTGAAGACATTCCCTTTCTCCTGTATCTCAATATGCTGTAGTTCTGTTCAATTCTGTCATTCTTAACCATTCCTTGTGCTGTGTTTCCCCCCAGATGTTACCAAACCTGCTGCTTCAGCATCCAAAAAGCCATCAGACTCCCCCCTCACCCGCCCCCCCATCACAAAGTCGGCCAAACCTGAGGCCCCCAAATCCGCCTCGAAATCAGACGTCCCAGCCAAAAAGCCTGCAGCCAGTAAGGACACAAAGACGCCCACCCGGCCTAAAACTGAGAGTAAGCCAACTCCTTCCAAGGCTCCTGGCTTGAAAACATCCAAGACCCCCGCCCCCAAGAAAACAGTGGGCAGCAGCACCCCGACTCCAGTGAAGCGCGGCCCCAAAGCGGTGTCTGAAGCAGCGCCGGAGAAAGAGATAGCTGCTGCTGTAGCCGCCGCCGCAGCTATCGCCACTGCTGCTGCTGTCATAGCCGGGCCAGAGGGACCAGAACCAGCTGCTGCTGAGGAACCACAGCTGATGTCCAGCCAGGCCGAAGCGGTACAAGAAAAAACTCCAGAACCTACACCAGAGCCTGTGAGGGAACTTACACCAGAGCCTGTGAGGGAACCTACACCAGAGCCTGTGAGGGAACCTACACCAGAGCCTATGAGGGAACCTACACCAGAGCCTATAAGGGAACCTACACCAGAGCCTATGAGGGAACCTACACCAGAGCCTATAAGGGAACCTACACCAGAGCCTATAAGGGAACCTACACCAGAGCCTATGAGGGAACCTACACCAGAGCCTGAACCAGAATCATTCCAAGTGCGAGAAACATCTCCAGAGCCCCTCCCAGAACCCCTGTCAGACGCAGAACTTGGAGCCGCCTCTGTCGATCAGTTGTCGGCTGATCTAGACCGCTTTAAATTCTCCGAGTCTGCTAAAGACACCTCCCTGGGAACCACCGTCATGTCTCCTCCTTCCTCTCCTCTGTGCCCGGCCTCCTCTCTGCTGGACATGCAGGTCCAGGCTGATCCCTGGGACCGGAACCAGGACATGGCTGCGTCTCACTTTGCTCCCCAGAGCCTCGTCTACACAGAGGAGGAAAATGAGAATAAGGACCAGTTTGAGACACAGCAGACAAGGGATGAGGAGGATGAGGAGGAAGAGGAGGAGGAAGAGGAGGAGAAGGAGAACCTGTTCATGCCTTCCTCCAAAGCTCCATCTACGGGGGCCTTCAACCTGATGGCACAGCCTCAGATGGATGACCTGCTCTCCCCCCATGAGAAGGAGGCAGTTGAAAAGGCTGACGAGGAGATAAACGAGGATGATGATGAGGAGGATGACGAAGATGAGGAGCAGAGGCGACTGGGCCACCTGCCTTCCCCCCTGGGCACCGACATGAGCACGTCTCAGCCCTCCGAGGAGTTTGCTGTGCGTCCCTCTGCCTTCGGGGGGTCTGCGGGTTGGCACGGCGACGACCTGCTGTCCGGGCTGGACTCGGAGGACGTGAGCAGCTGCAGCCGGCCGGCCGGCGAGTCGGACCTGAGCAGCACGCAGCACACGGCCCTGCTGGAGGGCACGCAGAGCTCCGACGCCCTGGTGGACTCCAGCCTACGAGGGTCAGAGGGAGACGGGAACCTTCATGGGATCCCCCAACGTGGAGACCCTCGCCAACGAGGAGGAGGAAGACGAGGAGGATGAGGAGCGGGTGGACGACATGGACCTGAGCTCTGAGAGAGTGGAGGAGCATCACAAAGGGTTTCCAGCCACAGCAGCAGCAGCAGCAGCAGGAGGAAGAGGAGGATGACGAAGATGTGGAGATGCACAGTGAAGGAGTGACGGAGAGCGGAGGGAACGTAGACGAAGACGACTTCAACGAGGAGGAGCGCTTAGACAACCTGAACCGCTCTGCTGCTCCTCCCTGCGCCCCCCCCCACCTCCTCCTGGGGTCAGACCAACCCCTTCTGTGATACCTGGGCTCAGTCGGCCGCCGTCCCCTCCCCCAGCCCCCTCTCTGACCTCGGGGCGGCTGAATCAGTGACCCCTGTCCTGTCCTCCGGCTCACATGGCCAGCAGCGCCGCGTCCTTTGCTCCTGAGTCAGTGCAGGAGGAGATGATGAAGGACTCTGAAGATGACGAGGCTCATGGATTGTTTGCCGCCGCAGCAGGAGGCGCTGGCCCCGTCGCCCGTAGCAACAGCGAGACGAGCACGCCCGAGGAGCTCCGTGACTACGACAGCAGCTCGGGGGTGGAGTCCCGCTCCGACAAGCAGCAGACCCCGGTGCCTCCTCACCACGCCGACATGGAGCAGGACCTGGGCATCCACCTGGAGAAAGGAGACGGGGAGGAGGAGGAGGCCGAGACCCTCCCCGCCGACGAAGTCCTAGGAACGGGACCCCCGACCGCCCCTGCCTCCGCCCCCTCCTCCCCTTCCACCTCAGAAGACGAGGCCAGCGACACAGAAGGCGAGATGCAGATCAACGACCCCGACGCACCACTGATGATGGACGAGGGCGCCCGGTTCGAGAGCCCCCCCCCCACCTGCAGCCTGCCCGCTCTGACGGAGGACGAGGAGGCTCGCGGCGGAGAGGGCGAGGAGGACGGAGGTGGCACCACCCCGCAGTCGGCCAACTCGGTGGCGTCTTACGGCTTCGACTGCACCACGTCCAACTCCAACGCCCACTCCATGGCTGAGAGCTGCGGGAAGAGCCCCGGCATCTTCAGCCTGGAGAACGAGGAGCAGCTGTCGGAGGAGGCCAAGGACCCCTCCCTCATCAAGGAGCTCACGCTGCCCTCCGCCGCCGCCGCCCCCGTGGACCTGACGCCTTTCGGCTTCCCGGGAGACGTCCAGCACGGAAGTCTAGACGAGTACATGCTGGGGGGGGAAGATGGTGGCGGAGCACCTGGAGGAGGTCGACCCGCTGGAGCCCCTTCACCACCTCGGGGGGGGCCGTGGAGGTCCGGAGACCCCGGGGACAGCCAGCCGCCGTACTACTCTACCATTTGTGATAAGACTGATAGTTTTTCTGGCAGGTAACGTATAAGTCCCTCCTCTCACCCCCTGAATGCACCTTTTCCCCGCAACCCACCCCCCCCCAACCCACACCCAGTTACCTGTTGTTTGTTTTCTCTCCAGTTGGGTTAGAAGGCTTAGAAAAAAAGATTGTAGGAAAAGATAAAAAAAAAAAAATGAACAAAGGAGATGGAGTAAAAAAATGACTGTAGCAATTTTTAAATGAAGCCTCCCTCTTTCATATGGTCATGGTTATGAGTGTACGGCTTACTATGTACAATAGCTACTACCATTTTCTAGTAGAATGTTCTTTTGAAGTAACACTGCATACCCTGAAGCCCCTGGTGGGGACTGACTGACTGATCGGTCCGCTGGGACTGAGCTTTTAAAACCGAGAAAAAAGAAAAAAAAACTGACGGAAAGAAATGGACTCATTGTGTATTTATCCTGCTGTTTTTACCGAACAAATGTCGATGATTTCTTTTTGTTTTGTATTTGCTTATTTGTGTTATTATTTTCTGTTGAAACCTGGTCCTCCCCACCCCGTGTACACGCTTCATGTTCGACCGCACCATAGCGATAGTCACATGCTCCTTCTTTGTGTTTAAAGACTTTTAGCTATCAAAATAATGGCTGGATATTAACACGGCAGACTTGTTTGAGGTAGGTGTGGGAGTGTTAGATTGCAGTTGGTGAAGTTTTAAATGTGTGCTTTACGAGGCTCTTCGCATTGGTTGTTACGGTATATAACGTGCAGTCACGTACAGTATGTGTTTCAGGCGTTTGGTTAGCTGATCATATGTGTTCCAGAAGAGACCACAACTAGCCTTTTATTTGTGATGAGACCCTGCATTGTCCTCCATCGCTATCACAGCCGAGCTTTACACTCATAGCGAGCGTTTGGTTTACTATTTCAACAGTATATTGCATGTTTAACTAACATAAAGACTGTACTACCTTGACTTTGAAACAATTCTACACTAGCCATGTTCATAAATGAATGGTTCACACTAGGTTATCTTTCAAAATTCCATTAAAACATCATTACAAGGCATTCTGTTCCTGTTTCTTATTTTCCCGATGGATCCAGCATGCTGAACTTTCTGTCCTTGTGTCCGAGTCGCTGTGTCTCTGTATGTCTACACAACCTGTTCCCATGGCAACTCCTACTCTCCACCATGGGAATAACCGGTAAACAGGAAGTGATGCAACATTGTACAATGGTGTTGTATATAAAAAATGGAATTTTGGTCAAATCAAAGAGGTAATGGTGTCCCTGCTCCATGTTTATGACCTCATGACATTTTCAGATGATACAGGTGTTGCTCACCTAAAGGTACCCTGTGTAGGTTTGAGTTTAAGCGTCAAGAAACACGCTGCATGTGTCTCATATAACAATTTATAAGATGAATATACAACTTGAATGCTTTGGTTTTCTACATCCATGTCCACTAGATTGAAGTCTTCTTTGCCTTTGTTGGTGCAATACTTATTTTGTTGGGAGTTTTATCATCACCAACAGTCGATCAATGGTAGGACAGCTACCAATTATTTTTTACATTCAAGGTTTATTTTGACATCTTTAAAAAGATCCTAAGTGATATACTCATATTTAATGAGCTAGCCCTTTTATTCCTATTATATCAACTTTCTTAACCCATTATACAATAATCAACTAATTGTAAATATGTTATCATTCTAAAATGGAAAAATATATAAATATGGAGATTGCTTTCTTAAGATTCAAGTTTTTTAAATCAAAGTAAACTGAATATCTTTGGGATTCATACTCGTACAACAAGACAAGGCATCAACTTGGTCTGTCAAACTAGGATGGACCATTTTTTAATCAACCATTTTGATTAAGCAATTAATTGTCAGCTTATAAATGAAGCTTAAAACAGATGGTTACAGCCCTAAAGAGACGAATCACATGACACCAGTTACTCGCGCAAAGAAAAAAAAAACAGACCTCGGGGTAACACTACTACTTAACTTCACAGGGTACCTTTAAAAGCAATTACGCAGGATATAAAAACATAAACAATGTGACAGTTACTAAGATCTGTCTTTATCATCTTGACTGTCACACTCACACACACACTGAACCAGCCCTTCTACCCTTGAATGCATCCGAATGTTGAAGCTCCAGAAGAACTTCTAAACCCTTTCGTGCCTTTCTCCTGCTCGCTCCTCTTCATCAAAACCCTGATATGGAAAAAGACCCTTTTGTCTGAAAACGTCACACGTTTTCTAAAGTCCTGATCAAGGTTTGTGTTTTGGTACACCACTGCTTTTATTTTGAAAATCTACATCACTAAGGGCCTCTGAAATAAGTCAAATCAGCCGCCTTTAGCATCATCTACATGACTTGGTGAATACAAACATGACCTTTCTGTGATGTTTTGTGTCGGTGAAGTCCTCCATGTTGTCATTTGTACTTTTAAATGTCTATATGTACTGTGTGTAGAGATGACTGCTGTCCTGCATGATAACCTACGACTTCATCGGAGAAAAGGCAGCAGATATGAGTGTGCTATTTAGGGTGACCAGACGTCCCCGTTTGTATTGGCCTGTCCCCGGAAATGTCCCCGTTTTTTACACATAGCAAGGTGAAATAAAACGTTTCATGTCAGGAAACATTGGGTAAACAGACTGCGGTCAAGCCAGCCCCCACTTCGGAAAACACAGTCAAGCCAGCCCGCACGTTGTATTGCGGTGCGCGAATATCCTATGCATTACGGTAGAGGCCTGTAAAAACTGCCTTCAAAATAAAAGCGCAAAAAACACACCAAACATATTCATATATACTAGAGCTTAAGTTAAGAAATATGTACTATATAATGTGATCAATAATAATTTAAAACAAACTACGTATAGCTACCACATTATAACTGAGTGAATGTAAAATGTAAGTAGGCCTATAGCCTACAGTTATGAAGACATATATCTGACATTTCCACTGGGTGACTCATTTCAATTGATGTTGACAACACTCCTAAAATAACATTACTTTCTGAAGCACAATTTAAAATGTATTTAAAATCTCAAATTAGATCTATTGTCCATCTATATTTTGATTATTATTTAATGGAAACCGTCCATAATCAAAGAGTCATTCGAAGTCAATCAAATACTTATTTCACTTCAGGGTGATAGCAGGACACCCCATCTAGTCACTCAGAGAGAATCAGGACAATCTGATGTACAGTTTCAAAATAAAAGACCTTTGAAGTCTCATATGAGCGATCGTCCTTCTGTTTGTATCCAACAGTTCAAATGTTCGAATTACATTAAACCAGAATTGTCCCCCTTTTTTCTTTAACAGTGAAGACAATTGGATATGTTAATGATATATTGACCGCAAAACTCAAAATGTCCCCGGTTTGTGAAAATCTGGTCACCTTATGCTATACCTGTGTAAGATAGCTAACAATATTAAAGCAATCCCACGAAAATATCTTCATATCAAAGAAAATGCAACTTTAGAGAGAAAACATCATGCGGTAAATACCTTATGATTTGATTTGTACAAACTGTGTATTTACTCCTGTGTCATGGATGTCACTTTCTTTTTGAGAGCCCCGTATATTTTCTGTTTTGGTTGCACCTCCGCCCTCGTGTCGACTCTCTCCTGAACCCTGTTCCTCCCGGTCCCTATTGTCGTGCCACCCGCTCTGTTTGATGCATGCATCTCTAACGGATGCACCAAGTGATCTTGACTGTCTCACAGGAGACGAGAAGACGGACCAACACGT